GGCACTTGACACCTTAGCCAGACAACCCACCCAGAACTTGCTTCTCAAGATTGAAAACACAGCTCCGTCCCCCTGCCTCTGCATCTTCTCCCTACTTACCCCTCAGCCAGGGATATCCAATGCCACCACACCTAGGCCCTAGCTGTGCCCCTAAACTTCTCTTCTCCTGGGCCTCAGGCACTTCCAGGAAGGATGAGAAGCTTCTCACCCTTTGTATGTTCTCAAGCCAAAAATCTTGCTTGGGTGGGGGTGGGGAAGGGTAGGAAGATGACAGGGTAGGAATACAGAGGGCACTTCCTGTACTAGGAGAAGAGTAGGTTCCACAGTCTGTGCACTTCTGCCCCAGCCAAGCTGCACAGGGCAAGTGGCCCCGGAAGGGGTGGTCTCCTTTTGCTTTTCGGAACTTTCCCCACTCTGCCATGTTTCTCACTGGGATCCTTAGGTTTGTCTACTTGTTGAGTCTCTTGACTGAAAGATGCTATCAACTCTCTTCCCCACACCCTGTCACCCATCGACTCCCCTCAGAAACGCCAGACACAGCTCTGAAATGTCCAGCCAGTCCTGGGCTCTCTGTGAACGCCTGCTGCTGATGACCTGATTAGAGGTAAACTGGCCAAGACCCCAGGCTCTGGACTTGTTATACTGAATTGGGGTGTGGCCTCAGATTTCACTTGCCTGCTTAAGACTGACACTTAAATTGAACATCAGACAGCATTGTCTCCTACTCCCCACCCCCAGGCTAAAGGGCTCTGAATAAAAAGAACAGGGAATTCTAGCTGGGAATGCTGCAAGAGATGGATTCCCTCTGAGGGTCTTAGTAAAACCTCTGGCAAACTAGCCCACATCTTCAATATACAAGCTGTCACTAGAATTTGAAGTCTGGGGTGCCCTGAGGGTAACTATAGCCAGAAACTGCAAACTGAACCCAACCCCTGGCTAGATACTGAACAAAAGGCAAGGCCAGCTCATCTAGCATTAAAACACAATCCCCTCATGGTGTGCCCCCTGATGCTGTGACTTATTGCCTACTGAGGTGGCACCCAGTTGCTTTGTCCCACTACTCAGGGTGATCACTTCAATCCCTTGATTATGCTAGGGGCTCTGATCTAGTCTGTCCCTTTTGCAAATAAGTTTTCTTACTCTTTTTATTATTCTTTTGGCGCCATCTGATTTCTGCTTCTGGATTCCTGCTGTGCATAAATTGAAGTTGATGGATCTCTTCCTCAGCAATCACCTTTCTCTTTATATTTTATCTGACTTCTGGGAAATTTTCTAAAATCTCTTTTCCTTTATTGTGTTATCTATTTTATGCAATCTAGTATTCCAGCGTGTCCATGATACTTTTAAAATGTGGTCATCATATTTTTCGTTATTAGCATTTTGCCTCATCAGAATGTTCCTTTTCCTCTACTGCCTGTTCCAGAAATAAATAGTCAACATTCCTTCAAATCTCACTGACATTACAAATAAAGGTATTAGCTGAAATTCCTGTTATTTTTCTCATTTAGATTTCTAATTTTTCACGTGATAATTTTTCTCTTTATAAATAATTAAGTTTTTCTAGTATTTAACTTAAAGGGCCTCAGCAGATAGTGTATGGGTTTCTGCCCAAATCCTCCTTGCAGTTGAAAAAGGGAATATGCAAATTAGTTTTAGTGACGTTTTACTTCACTTCACCAGAGATCATGAAATCTACACAAAGGAGGGAGACCAGGAGTAAGGGGAGTAAGACAAGGAAGGGGAGGGGAAGAGGGAGAAAAGCAAGATGTAGCTGTCACAGAGATAATGTGGCATTACCTCTAGTCTCATTTTGAGTAGGTTGTGGTACCTGATAGCTAGCCTGGAAAGCCCTCCCCTTCTCTAAGTGGCATAACTAACGCCACCCAAATCCAGTTATGCAAGTATCTCACTTTACCTGGCATGCTGTCTGTTCCAACTACAAACTGAACAAGAGTGCCATGGTTACTTCTCATCATGGGAATCTGGCATCTGGTGAATTATTTGACTAATGAAGAATAGTCTAGACAGCTTTTCCTGTGGCTCTCTTGCCATCCCAATGTTCTCAACATTCGGAGCTAGGGCTGTCAGTGGAATCTGCTGAAGATGAAAGGGAGTCTCTCCCCTAAGCCCTTCTGTCCTAAGCACATTTTTCCTTTGCATGAAATCAACAGGTTGGGCATCTCCTCTGACTGAACCCAATTTCCCTACAAAACAGAGTATAAAAGTTCCTTTAAGTTTCTGACAGGTAGAAATACTAGTTTTCAGAACTGGTACAAACGCTCTTTTGAAAGGAAAGGAGGGTGGGGTGTTAAATGTTTAAGGTTCAGAACACCATAAAGTAATTGTTTACAGGTTAGAAACAAAAATATGAAAAAGAATATATCAACTTTTTACTTCTTATTTGATTGTTGCTGTTAATAATTCACTAGTCCATTATTGCAGTTTATACTGACAGAATATATATGTTTTATTTAATTAACACCGGAATGATCTTATAACTACCATGTTCTTCGAATGAGAATATAGCACTAAGCATACCATGTGTACATAATTGCATAAAAAATTATAACAATACTCTAGTTTTAGATTGACTCTTTAAATGTGTCCTTCTTGGGACAGAATCATGTCTTTTTTCACTGAAACCCATCAAAACTTAGTCTTGTCAATAAGAAAGTCTTATTCATAGTAACAGATCAGCTTATGGAAGAAGTTAAATATAGTATAATTTGCTGGATAAAAAACAAATACGTATTTTACTTTTCCTTGATGAGTAGACTAGTATTTGAACATAATTGTAAAGGAAACTGAAGTTATGCTCATTTGTAACTTTTTTGAATATACACTTTGCAAAATAACATTAGTTGTTACATATGAAATAAATTGTAACTAGAGTTAATAAAATAATGTTTAATTGTATGTTAAAATTATTTTAATTAATTTTCCTATAAAAATTGAAAATATCAGACTATAGTTCAAAGCAATTTATCAAAGGAAGTTTAGTGTTTAAATGTAAAAAATTCCTATGTTCTGTCTCTGAAATGCACAACAAAAAACAAAATGTATAAAATCAACGAAAATGTATAAAAACATTTATAAGTAAGTTATACAGAAAATAATCTCTATAATTTGAAAAGTGAAATCATATACCTGGAGCTTTAGGCATCACAGTGTAATTCATATATGCTGTAAGTCATTTCAATAAAGAAAAAGAAAACCCACTGAGTTTTAATTTTACATAGTAACAATCAATATGCAGGCTTCACATTTTCTGAGGCGAATTTTACTAATCCACTACCATATGCCTGCTCGCTCGTCTCTGTTTCCACTCCTTTCAAAAAACATGTAGTCCTAAATAAAAACAAAATACAGAAATTAGTTTCAGCAACAAACCAGATTTTTATTCTCAGATACACAAATGCTAAGGGATATGATGAAACACAATAACATATCTACTAAGCAAGAAAAACTGACTGTAATAGGCAGATCTGGAAAAAGGTGATAGCTTCAACTTTCCATTTTAATAGCAATCCTATAATTCTATTCACTTATTAAGGCCTGCATGAATTCAATTAGTCCTCTGGTAATTTCTGTATATTTCTCATGTCCTTCAGTATGTTCTTTTTAAATCTTTTTTCCTCAACTTTCTGTACTCCTTCTCTAGTAATATAACTTTTCTTATGACTGGAATTCCACGTACAACTTTCAGGTTTTTTCCAGGGGTGTGACAGCCATCTTAGAGTTAGAATGCCTCTTAGAATGTTTTGGCCCAGGTTTATGATTACTTTTCCAAACTTGTCCACTATGTTCCCCAGCTAGTTTCCATCAGTGTCTTAACTAGGCCCTCTTCTCCATGACTTACGTCAAATCCTATGATTCTATCTCTCACATCCATCATTTTCCTTTACCCCTTTGACAGAAATAATTTAATCCCTACTTCCAATTAGTTGCAATTGCACTACGGCAATTTTACCTCTCTTCAATCCATTTCTCAGTCACCAGGATTTAGCTTTCCAAAATTTGGATTTGTAACTATTTTACTTATAACTAGTTTAAAACTAAACAGTTAACTAAACAATTTTCAATATCTTCCCAATGTGTATAAGAAGTTGCCCAATCCTTAAAAGTCCTTTAGAAGAGGCCCAATCTATCCCATAGTCATTTCCTAAAAATCCCACAACCACCCCCAATCCCAGGTCTCATCTAGCCAGACATCTCAGAATGCTTTCTCTTCCCTATATACACTGTATCTTTGCTTGTGGTATGTATAACTTTGGTTAAACACTCCACTAAGGTTAAAGTCAAATTTTACTTTTCATGTGAGATAAACACTTATTGAAAACACAATTTTTAAATAGAACTGCGGTTATATTTAAAACTTTATACAGAAAATAATATTGAGCCTACCCCAAGTTAGATGGAATAACATATTAAAGTCTAAATAACCAATCACACAGATTCAATTATTAATATGACCAAGACATCCCCTAGATCAGCGGTTCTCAACCTGTGGGTCGCGACCCCTTCACAGGGGTTGCCTAAGACCATCGGAAAACAAAAAGATATTTACATTATGATTCATAACAGTAGCAAAATTACAGTTACAGAGTAGCAATGAAAATGATTGTATGGTTGGGGGTCACCGCAACATGAGGAACTGTATTAAGGCATTAGGAAGGCTGGGAACCGCTGCCCTAGATTCTTCTGCTCTCACCCCCATTACTTAAAAGCAAATGTATGATATCATACCATTTTATATTGAAATATGAGGTGTGATAAAAAAATATGGTGAATGTTTAAATTTAAAAAAGAATTATTATAGTAAAAGACACATTGCCATTAATCCCCCTCAAAATACCCTCCCCCCGCCCCGTCCCACTTTGAACACATCCCATCATTCTTGTCACTTTCTGAAGCAGTTCTGTAAGTCCTCTTTCGTGAGTGTCTTTAGTTGCGCTATTGTAGCTGCCTAGATGTCCAGAATCATCTTGACTTTGGGGAAGAGCCAAAGCCTCACGGTGCCAGATCCAGTGAATAAGGCGGATGAGGACATACTGTAATGTTTTTATTTGACAGAAATTGCTGTATACTAGAAGCGATGTGTGACACGGAGCGTTGTCATGATGGAAGATGATTTACAGCACACTTTAAAACACATCTTCTCTCAACCATAGCTCACACCTGACTGACAGCACTGAACAAGTTGCAACTTGTCAAACACTGTTGCAAAGGTTTGAAGCGCTGCTTCCTGTATTGAAAATCCTTGCCTTTCCGCTGGGTGGCACCCGGCAGCAGCATTCATCGTAGTTTTTGATCACATATCATCTTTCAGTATGTTACCCTAAAAAACATGGACTCTTGTTTTCACATAACCATAATATCATATCTTAAAAAAATAAGTCATTAATCATCAAATAGCCAGCCAATGTTCAAATTTCTGAATACCTGTAAATGTCGCATTAACCCTTTATTACAAGTCACACCTTTATAGAAAGAAGTATATGCACTATGTGAAAAAACTGTAAATGTCTTTTTATATTGGTTTCTTTGATTCAGAGTCTATCAACTGCATTAAGTTGATGTCTTTTAAGTCTCTCATTTTATTTTCCTGACATTTGTTGAAGTAACTGGATCTCTTTTCTGTATATTCTCACTTTTTAGTTATTCCTATGTGCACCCTCAAGTCCATGTTTAAAATATTCATCTTAGTGGTTCCAAACCTTGCTGCACATTTGAATCACCTGGGAGTGATCTAAACAACCTGGAGGTTCATTCCACCTCCAGAGGTTTGGATTTCTACCTAGGTGCAATCTCAACCCGGGGAGTTTGAAAAGCTGCCCAGGTGTTCCTACTGTGCAGCTAAGGTTGAGAACCACTGCTCTGTCCCAGGAGTCCTTGACTTTGGCTGCATATTGAGTCACCTGGGGAGCTATACAAACTTCTGAATGTGAGCTTGTGATTTAGTTGAACCGAGTATGATTTGATACTTGGGATTTTTAAAAGCTGGCTAAGTGAGTTAGTGGGAGACAAGTTCAGAACCACTGTTCCATCCCAAGTATTTCCTCTCAACTGGCAGTTCCATCCGATGGCTTGATTAGAAGTATACTCTTAATGCAGGCTAAATCCCTATATTAGATGATTTAATTTTAATGAATCAGGAGGAAATCTCCTGTTTCACTGAGTCTTATTCCTTGTAAACCCATATTTAAAGTCTTCTCCAGACCACCTATTTTGATTTTTAGATAAAATACCCAAAGGCCAGACAAGTGGATCAGTTGGTTAACAGCTCTCTCAAGAGTGTGAGCTCTGAGCAACAGGGTCACCAGTTCGATTCCCAGCGCAAGCTGAGCTGCCAACAGGTGGCAGGATGGCTCAGCT